CCCCGCCGCACTGGTGTCCGTGAGTGACAGGCCTCGGTCCCGGACGGGCTGAGGCAGGCGAGGGGAAACGGCCAGAGCCTGGCACGTGATGCGGTCGCGCGTGCAGCGGAGCTGAGTCCTCCCCCCCAGGCTCTTGGTAGCTGGCTAGGGAGGCGCGCGCTGTCCGGTGCGAGAGGCTGCAGCGAGAGAAGGGGGTCCCGTCGCTTGCACACTCACCTGTAGCACCTGTCCTCCCCTTTGCACGCTCACCTGTAGCACCTGCCCCCCCCTTTGCACACTCACCTGTAGCGCCTGTCCCCCCTTTGCACACTCACCCGTAGCCCCTACCTGCCCCTTTGCACACTCGCCTGTAAGAGCTGCTTCCACTACTCTTCCACGCGTACTTGCAAGAGGTGCCTTTCCCCTTGCACGCTCACCTCCAGAAGCTGCTCTTCCCCCTGTCTTGCACACTCACCTGCAGCACATGCCCCCTCCCTCTTGCACACTCACCCACGGGGGCTGCCCTTCCCCCTCTTTCTGCAGGAGCTGCCTTCTCTCCCTTGCACACACACTCCCAGAGAGAGGCCATGGGCTCACAAGCTTCATATATTAGATGCATAGAATTTCTGCTCCATGATGTGACTTTCCCTTGAATTTTCTTTAATTGTAATAATTTATTTTGTATGAGAGCTGGGATGAGTGAACTGCAATGCCTCCATCTTTCTGGAAATTTACAAAACCAGCACAGAGGTAATTTTAAGCATCCTGTTTTTTTACTCCCCTCCCAGCCTCCGTTATATCTCAAGTGGCAGTTTTTCCAGGCTGGTATGAAAAAAAAAATCTCTGTCTAAATGTAGATCTGCTATACAGTCCTTTGCAGTCTGTCCTTCCCCCTTCCCTTGTCAACACCCCTCTGGATTAAGTTGTAGGCCCTGCTGATTATATGCAGGTCATCTTTAAGGGCAAGATCTTGCATTCCATTCTCATGCAAAATTCCCTTTGTCTTGAAGGCTCCTGAGTGGATTCAGTCAGTTTGCAAAAAAACAATTTGCTTTCCTCTACTTCCATAACAGGGCCCTGACCCACAACAGGCTGAGCACTTCTTGAGTGCATCCTCTGCCATCCCGTGGGTTTACCAGGTATTTTGCCATTTGCTCTGGCTGGAACCCATTGAGGAGTTCAGTGTTTTGCAAGATTGTAACGTCCGGTTGAGCCACTTAAGAGGATTTGGGAACCCATTCCCATTTTAGGCCAGCTTTGAAAATTGCAGCCTTGGTTTCCTAACAATTTGATGCTGCATAATTATATGAGACAAAAGTCCCAGCTCAAGTTGGCGTGCTCGAAGGAAACTATCCAGGCGAGTGCTGCCTGTGAATATGTGTGTGCTTATGCATGTACAACGTCAAATTAATTCAGAGTGTCCTTTCCCGTTGCTATGCATATGCACACATATGGGGGGTGGGGAATGTTAAAGCAATTAGAACTGGGCTTTCTTCTTTCAAACAAATTAGTTATGTACATACTTCCTGAGTAAATAGTATCATATAAATATTTATACCTCATATGTGGTCTCATAACTCAGGGGATGAATATAGATCCTACAGATGGAGAATAATTTGATTTATCCCAGCAGCCTGACACCATTTGTGGAAGAGGGAAGCATGAGCAGAGTCCAGACACATGAAAGGGAGCCAAAATAGACCTATCTGAAAGAGAGTGGGCAGGAAGCTCTGAAAAACTCTAGATCAAAAGCAGTATTTTTCTGTTTAAATAAATAAAAAAGTCACTGGGTGAGGGATCCCACTTGAGCTGCCAGTGATTCAGCCTTTTTAACGCATAGTCAACCCTTTATTTTGTATTTTTGCAAACTTACAAAATAAATTCTTTGCTGAGAGATTCGGTGGTAGGTTGTCTTCTCCACCTCTTTCCGAATTAACTAATTTGTGTGTGTGTGCACACAAATTTGTAAAGTTGTGAGACACACTTTAATATTTTTTAAAAATAAATTGAGTACCGTTGAAAGGTGCTGGGCTGACAGCCCTGGAAAAGGAAGCCCTCTGTTTTGTAGCCATACAGGACAGGTACAGCAAGGAAGGCAGGGGTAATGCAAGCTTCCACCATGCTAACCAGCTTCCTGACCTGGAAGGACAACCTGTGTAGGTGGGAAAGGAGTTCATGCTACAGACTTGAAATTCCATCCTATGCAGGACTTACATTTGCATTCTGCATAGGACTGAATTTTACCTTTGGTCCTTAGATTCCTGGTTTTTAAGTTCAGGAGAGTCCATCATGATCATCTAGTCAGAGCTGCTGCATTATACTGGCCAGATAATTTCACCCAGTGATTCCTGTATCAGTCCCAACAGCTTGAAGTTGAAATAGAACATGTTTCTAAGGGCAGGTCTACACTACAGCAAGGATCCACGCTTTGAGATTGATCCACTGACAGTCGATTTAGTGGGTCTAGTAAAGATTTCTGTCCAGTCGACCCCTGTACTCTATCCCTGACGAGAAGAGTAAGGTAAGTCGACGGGAGATTTTCTCCTGTAGACCCCGCGGTAACTCGACTAAGGTACGTCAACTGGAGCGATAGTGTAGACCAGGGGTCGGCAACCTTTCAGAAGTGGTGTGCTGAGTCTTCATTGATTCACTCTAATTTAAGGGTTTGCGTGCCAGGAATACATTTTAACCTTTTTAGACGGTCTCTTTCTATAAGTCTAAAATATAATAACTAAACTATTGTTGTATGTAAAGTAAATAAGGTTTTTAAAATGTTTAAGAAGCTTCATTTAACATTAAATTAAAATGCAGAGCCCCCTGGACTGGTGGCCAGGACCCGGGCGTGTGAGTGCCACTGAAAATCAGCTTGCGTGCTGCCTTTGGCACGTGTGCCATAGGTTGCCTACCCCTGGTGTAGACATAGCCTTAGTAAGACATCCAGTCTCAATTTAAAGATTCCAAGTGATCAGGACCGGCTCCAGGGTTTTTGCCGCCCCAAGCAGCGGAAAAAAAAACAAAACAAAAGCCGCAATCGCAATTGCGATCGGCGGCACTCCGGCGGCAGCTCCACCGCGCCACTTTCTTCTTCAGCGGGAATTCGGCGGCAGGTGCTTCCCTCCGAGAGGGACCCACCTCCGAATTGCCGCCAAAGAGCCTGCCGTTCCGCCCCTTCCCCTTGGCCGCTCCAAGCACCTGCTTGCTGGGCTGGTGCCTGGAGCCAGCCCTGCAAGTGATGGAGACTATCGATGATGATCAATAAATTATTCCAGTGGTCATTTATTCTCACTGTTAAAAAAATTCACCTTATTTCCAGTATGAATTTTATCGAGCTGTAACTTCTAGCCATTGGCTCTTGTCATGCCTTTCTCTGCTAGTGTAAACAATGTTCTGCTATCAGAATTCTTCTCCCCACATAGATACCCACAGACTGTGCTCAAGTCACCCCATAACCTTCTCTAAAATAAGCTAAATAGATTGAGCTCCTTCAGGTCTGTCACTGTAAGGCAGGTTTTCCAGTCTTTGAATCATTCTTGTAGCTCTTCTCTGACTCCTCCAATTTTTATTGGCTCTGGAGAGGCTACCAACAAGGGTGCCCAGGTTTGCCAACTGTTAGTGGCGTTTGTGATTTGTCGTGTCCACAGGGCAAGACAACCAAATTGCTGTTCCTGATACTCCATGTCCCGTAAGCACAGTGAGCTACTCCCTGCTAAGTATTTATTGCTGACCTTTCCTCTTTAGAAGAATCAGTATGTTTCTTAAAAGCAAAAATTGAGGACAATAGAGAACATGCTATAACACTGGAAAATGTTATGCTGTCACTGTGGAATGTAATTTCTTTTCTTTCCTCTTTACCCCTCTCATGTTAGAAGAATGCAGTGCTGAAAACGTGAAAATTTAAAACAAAAATTGTAGACGAGCTGCAGTTTGTTACACCCCCTTTCTTCTCGGCGCCGTTTGAACAAGCAGCCAAGTTCCTTTGGGCTGTTAAATGCTTTTACCTGCTGTGTCCAAGTCAAAAGTTAAATAATGTGTGAATGGATGTAAAAGGAAAATAAGACACACAGAGAGCAAGAATCAGGGGGTAGCCATGTTAGTCTGTATCTACAAAAACAACAAGGAGTTGTTTTAGGTGCCACCAGACTCCTTGTTGTTTTTACAGAGAGTAAGGGGGGGGAGTTCCTCTTAAGACAAGATAATTGTTACGCTCCTGGAAACAAATAACAAACTCCTCTTTTCTGTGCTTGTGTCCATGAAATCTTGGCAGATACAACTGAAGTTAATTACCTGCGTGTTTCTTTGTGCTTCTACTCTGGGGCTTGAGCCTGTAAATACTACGCGGTGTATTGCTTACTACCATGAGTGGCTGCTCTATTGAAGTTGAGGAGTTTAATCATGGGAGTAAGCACTATGGGCCAGATGCTTAAAGATGCAGGAAGGTCCCCAGGTGCTTTTGAAGACCCCAGCAGGCGCCTATCTGTGTCTTTAGACATCTAAATACTTGTACAAATCTGGCTCTGTAGGCTTAGTCATGCACTGTGGACGTCATTTGGAGAAATATCAGGCTATGTGTCCATTGGTAATTGTTTGTAGTATCAGGCCTTTGACAGCCAAAAGGAATTATATGGATGACATTGGGAAGATGAAAGGCCTAAGTTAAATACTTCCCAGTATTGAGTAGGGGTAGGGTTTCCAAAAGCACATAATACTGGACTAGCGTTAGGTCAGTGCTGGGCACTTCCCAAAATCCCACCCTAGTTGGGGCTCCGGAGCTCATAGCGATAGATATTTAGCTTGGAGCATTTGCTGTAAGAAAATATCTCAGTAAAAGTGTTTTTAAAAGACAAAAGTGATTGTGGAAATGACTTCTTGAGAAGGCTGGGAAATAATCCCACCCACCCACACAATGCTGAACTCAATGTGTCAATTATCACATGCACCCCCTCCCTCCCCCCCCCCCAAAAAGTGTATGGCTTTTGTGTACAGGAAGTAGCAAAGCAGACTTGCCAACAGGAGAAAGCTATATTAGTTAACTAAATAGTGTCATTGACACCTCTTTTTTTCTCAATGGTTGTTTGCTGTTCTTTAAGGTTAGAAAGCTTTTGCAGTTAAGTTCAGTAAGTTCCCATTCATATACAGCTGCCTAGTCACACTTGCTTATTTATACCACAGTTGGGTCTCCTTTGTTGTTTGGAAAGTCAAGCACCTCAGGTGATGTTAGACTGTGGAGGATGTTAGACTGTGGAGTCTATACACAACTCCTGCAAGCCCAGCTCCTTGGTGTCAGGTAACAAGTAATCTTTATTCTTCTTTTAAAGTGTTGTAAAGCCTTATCTTCAGATGAATTGGGTTAGTTTTAGTTGTAGTATTTGGGTATTTAATCTAAGCACTATACCCAGATGTACAGACACTCTTTTCTCAACCTATGTATTACATACTATTTTTAACGTTAGCTTTAATAAAATTTTTGGGTGGATATGGATAGATAAAATTGAAAATGCTTAAAAGGCTCCTTTCTGCTTCTATTTCAAGACTGTGGTGCATGGTAATGAGCAGCCTTTCTGTGGCACCTCTCCTCCGAAGATCCTCAAATGCTCCAGAAGCATTAATTCTCACAACTGCATTATTGTCCCCTTTTTACAGAGAAGAGGGTTAAACCGAGGAACAAGAGGTTAAGTGAGTAACCTTCAGCAAATCTCTCTGCAAGTCAATGGCACAGCCAGGAATAGAACCTAGGAGTCCTGACTCCCAGTCCCTTGCTCTAAGCAAACTGAATTGGCAATATTGTGTGGCTGGGGAAAAACAGACAGTCTGTTTACATCACCATCACTGACAGTAACTTTTACAACTGGTAAAAGAGATGGGTTGGGGGAAAGAGTTTTGTTTAGTCAAGTTTGGGACTGTGCAAAGCTTGATGGTTTGGGAGCCACGGGGATATGAAAACCTGTTTTTTCCCCCCAATTTCAGTTTAGACCCTCCATGTTTCATTCTGAATTTTGGGTTCAACAGAAAACAAAAACTCAAAGAGAAACTCAACCAAAACTTCCAAATTTTGCTTGATTGTGAGTTGAAACTATGAGTTTAGCATGGCTTCCACTT